ATAACTTTCGAATGCAACTTGCGAATATGTTTAATTACTTGTAAATATACTGTAACAATATATATATATATTGTTATATATATATTATATATATTATTATTATATATATATATACAATATATACATGGTCTGTTCAAAAAGTACCCGGAATTACTAATAATTAAATTTCGCGGGTCTGGAGTGTCTGATTGTCAAAATTTTTTTTTAATTGTGTTGGTATACATGCCCCTAAAGTATGATGAAAATTTCAGCTATATTCACTGTTTACTTTGTCTGTGGTAGTCGCTAAGGTTCGACGTGTTTTTCTGAGCTCGGCGATTTTTACAATGGAAGAATTGAAAAAGTCAAAGAATTTGTATTAAATTTTGCGTAAAAAATGAAATAAAGTGTTGCAAAGTGCAAAAATTCACCAGATATGGCTCCGTGTGACTTTTTCCTATTCCCAAAGTTGAAGAGACCCATGAAAGGACGGCGGTTTTCCTCGATTGAAGAAAATCGCCGAGAGTGCTCAAGGACATATCAAAAAGTGAATATCAAGGGTGCTTCGAAAATTGGAAAAAACGCTGGCATAAGTGTATTATATCTGGGGGGGACTACTTTGAAGGGGACCACATTAATGTAGACGAATAAATAAATATTTTTTTGAAAAAACGAAAATTACGAAAACTTTTTGAACAGACCTCGTATATATTATATTTCGAAAATAGCTGGCGCCGTTTCTGTAATCTCCACATGTAAAGTTTTATCAAAATTCTCCCAACGTAATGCATTATAATACATAATTATAATTCAATAAGCCACAATGAAAATACGATTCAATTTTTCATTTCAGATAATACCAGGAAGCATTCAGAGATCGTCGAAACGACATGACGCCAGTAGCAGGATGAGGCCTGCCTCCGATCCAATCAATTTACCTTTTGATTATGTAAAAAATGTTGTCGGAAGTCAAACGGTAAGAAAATCTCATACTGATACATATTTCCCATTTGGGCCCCCCTCAGGATTAGTGGAGTAGAGGGATATACTGCTATTTCATTTACATATACTTTTTTAATTTGAGTAAACGATCCAGAATAACTTCGAGAAAGATTAAAGTTAGCGAATTGGATTTTTTGGCGAAAACATAAACTATTGAATACAAATAATGTTTATTTATAACTTTCAGAAAATTTTACGCTGGTTACACAATGAACAAAGAATATATAAGACATACAGCATTTATTATCTATAGTTTTTCTTATTGAGCTTAAATTCAAATCAAAATTTTCAGTTTTAAATGTGAGGACACACTTGGATTTTCACCATTTAATAAAAGCTGGTTGTGAAATAATATTTTTTGAACAAATAAAATTATTTAGACAAAAAAACATGTAACAATATTTCCAAAAACAATACAGTAATACTAAAGATGCATAAATAAAACCAAACCATAAAAATAAATTGTAATTGTTGCATGTTGAATAACGCATCGCTTTCATCAAGTGACATATTTTTTATGAAAGGAAGTGAGTTTTTCTTAAACATATCATCTCTCCATTTATTTATTAATCCACTCTCAAAAATGCTTGACAAAATCCAATCGAATCGTTTCAGAAAAGGTAAATTTTTGGCTGCCGACTTTGTGACATAATTTTTAGGAAATATTTCATAAGGCATTAAGTGAATACGTTTCTTATTGGATTTATCGCCGCAATTAATCAATTGGTATTGTCTTGCATGTACATCGTCTATGAAAAATGCAGATGTTTTATGATTGCATACATCTCTAATAGCATCGTCATTATTTTCAATTAGTCTACTCATAATGTTTGGCGATAAATGACCCGATTCTATTTTAGCATTCAAAATTGACTTGAGGAAATTCATTAAAGGTGATATGGTTGTCAAAGATAAATCGGTAGCGTCTAGTTCTTCCCAGGTATTAATATCGTAAATGTTTTTTGGGGTAGTTATACTACTTACTATATTTGCTTGAAATATAGAAGTTGTAATTAATGAAAAATATAATAATGTCATTACTATAGGGCTTTGATTGCATCGTGCATTATATGTTTGCGATACTAATAAACTTGTTCCAATAACTTTTATAATGAGCTCTATACAGCTTTCGCCTCTCACAAATGCAAATAGTTTTTTATTTGCAATGTCTAAAATTTTCCATGTAATAATTATGAGAATGTACGTAAAAATAAACATTAGTAGATTATTAATGCCTAAGCTTCGAAGTAATAATTCTCCATAATTTTCATATATCTTTGCCATAACAAATGTAAACCTAACTTCGATTATTGGTTTCAGTAGCACTACATTTGACCAATTGATAGCTTGCAATCTTCTATTCTCCATAATAAAATCGATATTTCCCAGCTCCATCTGTTCCCAAGATCCTTTGAACGATGAATTTGAAAGATAACTCTCATAGGCGCACATTGAAATAGGCAAATACACTTCTTTAAAATTCATTGACTTCTGTAAAGCTGCAAACGTCTGGTCAACATTTGGTCCAACTGTTACATTGTTTTCTAGAGATGCAACCTTTAAATGAAATTCGCAAGTTTTCAAAGGATACCCATGCAAGTTATGAAAACGTTCTTCTAATCTTTTTTTGATGCCAAATATGCCACTGGACCCGTCATTTAATACAATATCAGTTACAGACCCTCTTTTACCGCCAATAACTAAGAAGGGTTGATAAAACGATACTTGATGTTTTATTTGTTCTTTTTCGTTAATATTGTGATATTGTAGAATAATCACATCAAGCATATAATAAATTTTCCAAGCTCGTTCAAGTAAATCCTGAATCGATTGTGCTTGCAACTTGGACAGCATCACAATGATAGTAGATTGCGGAGATTTTTTTCCAATATCTAGCTATAAATGCTCCACAAAATATTGTGTATCTGATATTATTATATAACTTCTTGTCATATCAAATTTTATGTCACCAAGGCGGGGTTTTATGTTCCTAATAATGTATAAATGAATTGATATTTGTGGGATATTGATTGCATTTTCATTACTTACTCAGCTGATTTTAAAACGGTGTTAATCGCTGGCAAATTTAAAATTCCTTTGTATAAGTGGTTGAATGTATCAAATAATGGCTTCGAAATAGTATCTTTTTCGCATATTATCTCAACATCATACAACTTCTGCAAAATTTCAACATTACATAATGGATGTAATTTCATAAAAACGATAAATGATTTGAATGAGTTATCAATCATGTAAATAGTATTTCGTAAATACTTCGAAATTTTAAGAACAGTTTTACATATTTTATTTATATACCATGTTATAAAATATATCGTCTAAATAGTTCTGTATTAGCAATTCTATAATAATTTATTCTATAGATAAAATCAATTTTTACCTTCATCTGATTTTTTAAGAATGTTACAATGTGATTAAAATTTTGTATATATACATTTTCGGCTATTTTTATATCACCGCTGGCATTTTTGTTCAAAATTATTATTGAATAAAATATTAGTATTTTCATCAGCATTTTTAACTATTCAGTTAGGTTTGCTGTTTTAAATTATTTGTATTTAGTAGATCCTTCAAATAACAATAAGCGTATTATGCATACGTGCAATATATATTATATGCATTTAATTTCACAGATGCATTTCAAATCAAACGTAGTTATTATTGCTAAAGCTTTTACCTAAATTATCTATTTTTCATTATGCTGATATTTGTATGGATTCATGTTATTAATATTCGTATTGATCTATTGATGCATATTATAATATATGCATAATAATTAATTTTTATTTATACACTTTTATTTTGCATATGGTAGTCTGATGAGTCCAAAAAATCTTTTGGACTTTTCATTCTTAAACTATATACATACAATGTAAACAAATATTGTTTAAGTTTTTTGAATAGCTATTATTAATTATGAGTTTTAAACTTCTGAACTAAAGGTCTTTTTCTTCATTGTTTTCATTTATTTTAATTAACTTCCCGTACGGTAAGTTATAGTAATTGCAAAAAAATCGAAAATGAAATTTTTTATATATCTTTACGTTTAAAAGGTTTTTGAACATTCTGGCATACCTTAGAAAAATGGATGTATGTGTATGTGTGTGCGAATACAAATTTTCGTCGACGATTTTGGGAACACCGAAAAGGTTTTTGAACATTCTGGCATACCTTAGAAAAATGGATGTATGTGTATGTGTGTGCGAATACAAATTTTCGTCGACGATTTTGGGAACACCGATCAACCGATTTGAATAATTAAAAAAAACATTCGATTCGTATTGATAATGGGGCGTGCTGATTAGCTTTTGGCGAAGCAGGTTCAGCCCGTTCTAAAGCCGGCCACAGACGTAACTGTATACTTGCGCAACTGAATGAATGCGCAACCAGGCGTATTTTCACAGCGCCCACAGACGGTTCAAGTTTAAGCCGGCCACAGACGTAACTGTATAACTGCGCAACCTGCGACTTGCACATGTATTCTGTAGCGTCTGTGGCGTGTTTTTTGCGCAACTGGACAGACTGGTGCAAGCGAGTAGACATGAGCACTTTTCGATTATTTTAATTGCGCAATCGTTCAAGTCGGCAAGTTCATTCGTTGGCCGCGTGTGGCAGCACATGTCTCGTTACTATTTTACTTTGTAGCGAATTCATAATACAAGATTATGAATATATCGACAATTAAAAGTTATTAAATTAGCCCTATGAACACTTTGAATTCTCTTCTGATGCTGTAAATATACAAATTAATAAAAAAAATATATTTTTAGGTTATGTTTTGACATTTATTATTTGACATTTGTGATATGCTTGCGCAAGTACTTGAACATAAACTTGAACCGTCTGTGGGCGCTGTGAAAATACGCCTGATTGCGCATTCATTCAGTTGCATAAGTATACAGTTACGTATGTGGCCGGCTTTATGTTCAAGTACTTGCGCAAGCATATCACAAATGTCAAATAATAAATGTCAAAACATAACCTAAAAATATATCTTTTTTATTAATTTATGCATTTACAGGATCAGAAGAGAATTCAAAGTGTTCAGAGGGCTAATTTAATAACTTTTAATTATCGATAACTTCATAAACTTGTATTATGAATTCGCTACAAAGTAAAATTTAAAACGGGACATGTGCTGCCACACGCCCGCCACACGCGGCCAACGAATGAACTTGCCGACTTGAATGATTGCGCAATTAAAATAATGAAAAAGTGCTCATGTCTACTCGCTTGCACCAGTCTGTCAAGTTGCGCAAAAAACACCCCACAGACGCTACAGAATACATGCGCAAGTCGCAGGTTGCGCAAGTATACAGTTACGTCTGTGGCCGGCTTAAAGATACGGGCAAAACGTGCCAAAAACGGTAACTCAGTTTTTAGGAGAACAGAGCGTCCGATTTTAATAATTTAAAAAACATTTTACTTGTATTGACGTACGGCAAGATGAAGGACTGATTGAATTTTTGGGAAGGCAGGTCCAGCGGTTAGAGACTCTCTATAAAAATAAGTCAGAAAATGTCATTTGGCGGTCATAAATGTTTATTGGACATATGTGCATCAAATTATCAGATATTTTATAGAGATTTTAATAGTGTGTACACACTTTGTGTAATTTTTTTCGGGTTCTGTACCAAGATTTTTAATACAGCAATTTGCCTTAAGGCACGATGCCATGCACCCCACTAGTTTTTTCATCACTTTATTCAACGTCTCGGGGACATGGGATCTCCCCTCCTTCTGGAACTTTAAGAATAACAATTTTTCAATTCAAACACTCGACATGCAACAAAATTCACTAATGAATTTGATGAATTTTTAAATAAGTTTTTAGTGAGTTTTGATGTTTAGTTGAGTGTTTGAATTGCAAAATGGTTGTCATTAAGTTGCTGAAGAAAGGGACATATCCCAAATCACCGAAATGTTGAAAATAATAATAGAAAAAAATTAAATATAAACAGAGAGGAAAGGATGCTATTAACTTAGTTTAAGAGTCATATTTAATAATAGCTATCCAGA